TAGCACCCGAATATGAAGAGTTGAAAGGGGGGAAAACCAAAAGATCCTTTTATAGGGTAATTGAAGAAGTTTCGAACTCAGAGAAGCGGGGAAAAGTGACCCGAAGAAGCCCAACATCAGATTTATAATCTGACTGGCCGAAGCGCTGCGCGGCACTCGACACTGTCGCGCTCGAGCGCGACAGTCTATGTTGCCGCGCTCAAACGCGACAGTATAAGCTGCCGCGGCAGCTAACACAGCATGGTTCAATTTGGCTTGCAGAAACACTTTGCATGCACGATAATTCTTCGACGTTTGAACATAGACATCTCCTTCTGTATTTGGAACACATACCCGAACACTCCGATGAGTATATGAGTATAAACTGCATCTCCCTGAACCTCCCAACGGGTATATGAGGTTAAACTGTTTCCCGAACACTCCAATAGAGCATATGAGTATAAACTATTTCTCCATTTTTCAACAACAGTTCTGATTCAAGACTTCGACAACGGCCACGCGATAAACGCAGTACCGGAGGAATCTTAGCTATTCTACAAAGCACTGAATAAGCTAAAAGATAAAAAAAAAGTCAAGGATTGAAGTCATTCACAGACCATTCTACGCAATTTCCTCAACAAAGAACTGGAGAAATTGCAGGGAAAGCCTATCATATCCAAAGTGTCCCAGACTCCTCTCTAAAAAAATGATGAGTCTGAGATACTTTGGAGGGGGTATCTGTAGGCGTCAAAAAATGTTTACGGACATCCAAACACCTCTCAAGACAAAATAGAAGAACAATATACACGTCATCATGCAGCACTGTGGCGCGGCAGGACATGGTGCCGCGGCTAAGGCGCGGCAGACCATGATGCCGCGGCTGAGGCGCGGCAGACCATGGTGCCGCGGCTAAGGCGCGGCAGCCTATGGTGCCGCGGCTTAGCCATACTTTGGAGGGGGTATCTGTAGGCGTCAAAAAATGCTTGCAGGCATCCAAATACCACTCAAAACAATATGGGAGAACAATTTACACGTCATCAGGCAACACAAGGTGGCGCGGCAGCCCATGGCGTCGCGTCTAAGGCGCGACAGCACATAGTGCCGCGGCTAAGGCGCGGCAGCCTGTTGTGTCGCGGCTTAGGTGCTGCAACCTAGGGTGCCGCGGCTATGTTAAAGGAGTGCTGTGGCGGTTGCAAGGCAGTTATATGGTGATTTTTTTGAGGCCTATGTGGCAGCATATCAGAAATAGAACGTGTGCTGACGTGGACAAGCAGTTAAACCACGAAAAAAGTGGTTAAAGGTCGTGGGAGAACGGTTTTAAGCACGATGGAACGTGCTGATAACCGTCTCTTTGGCCGCGGCAGCCTATACTGCCGCGCCAATGGCCGCGACAGCGTAGACTGCAGCGGCCAAAGAGAAAACACATGGTCGGTTATTTCGCCCCCTTTTCAACTGTGGTGCACTGAGACCCCTATAAATACCTCCCTAAACACGAAGTAAGGACGGAGAGCAGATTGGAGCAGAAGAGGCTTGAGTCTTTGGTGATTTTGAGAAAGAAAGAGAGAATTTTCACCCTCTGACAAGCATCATTTGGTGAATCCTAGAGATCTAAGCTCAGACTTGATCTTTGGAAGAACGGACATCTTACATCGATAAGATATTCGTTTTCAAATCTTTACTTCGATAAACGAAGGAGAGATCCCTAAGCACCTTCACGATCTTTGAATCGGTGGTCAACGAGCCAAAGCACTCACGGCACAGGCAAAGTCCCACAAAAACAGTAGTTGATAAACGACTTCTGTGTTATTTTCTCGAAAGTTGTAATTTTGTTTATTTTTCATTGTAATATTTTGTAAGCAATCGAAGTTTAATGGAATCTACAATGGAAACGACTTTCGCTGAAAACAAGGGGTATGCTTAGTACCAAGCACAAAAAGTTATGCTTGGTAATGAGGTGTCATAATCTCGACCACTCATTTAAATGGTTGCATATCCCCATGCACTCCTCAACCCATGTGAATGTGGTTCCCCATTTGAATGAGTGGAGAAAAATGTGTCACCTCACTACCAAATACAAAATTTGTGCTTGGTACCAAGCATATCCATATTTCTCATATATATATATATATATATATCACCTTTAAAACTACATTATATGCTATCAAATTACTCAATCCACTCCATTCATCTTGATTTGTACGTTTTGAATTGCATACAAATAAAAAATTAAGCATATTAGATTGTAGTTACTTATGCATCAATTGATTATGAAATTAACGGTTTTACGATAATATAACTAAAGTGTTATGGTGTTCACTCACCCAAGATACGAGTATTTGCAAATTGATACAATAAGAGTCCTGGCTAAATGACGTTAACCAACTTAAGTGGTCCAAGCCCAACATAGGCCTTGACTCTGCCGACTCATTAAGTCGACATTATTTATTTCATACCGACACAAAAGGCGGGATGAGTTGACCCTATCGTCGACGATGACTCACATAGAACACTCGACCACTCACTAAGTTGAGGACTCGACCCCTGCCTCAAGCATCTCCCCCAGAGCATATGTCAGTATCCCAGTCCACCTCAGACAAGCCTTTCGACCCCTGCCTCAAGCATCTCCCCCAGAGCATATGTCAGTATCCCAGTCCACCTCAGACAAGCCTTATCCAGATTTTTGCATGATGGTCTCCATGACTTATCATCTGCCCATGTGCCTTCTGCTACGCTCTCAATTACTTCCTGGAAAATGCGGAGACACCATCTCCCGTGCCGAAGTGACTTCCCCTCCAGTTGCCAGCCGACACCAGTAAAGAGATGGATGACTCAGCATGCAACGTGCCTTCTGGCACGCTCTCAATCACTTCTCAGAAAATACGGAGACACCCTCTCCCGTACCGAAGTGATTTCTCCTCTAGTCACCAGCTGACACCTGTAAAGTGAGGGATGACTCAGCTCTTAGCTCGCACTTCATCACCGTCTCCCTATGCAGGGGTAGAGGTGACTTATTAATCCCAACAACGAAGATATATACAGGTAGATTCCTAACCTCTCATGGGGAGCAAGATCTAAGAAAAAGCTCTCTATCTCAAAAAAGAGAAAGGACCCACAGTTCTTCTTCTACACAGAGGAGCTCATGTAGATCCTCTGGGCATGCACATTGCCACTTCAAGAACCACCTCGGTTTCTGACATTCCCCTTCCCCACTCGAGTTTCACTAACTTGACCGTTGGTGGAACCATGGGGAACCGGTCTTCGCCCTCTCACGGGTTCTTCTTGTCTATGCAGCGTGGACACCAAGTCCTCGTTCAAGAACCAGACATAAAGTCGGAGAAGGAAGTGGCCCTTTCATCACTCTCCTCTACCCCATCCCGACGAGGACCCAGGAGGGACCGATCCAGTTCCGGATCAGAACCGATCCCAGCCTGGATCCGATTGACTATTTGGATGTAATCATCAACATAAAGATACAATAAAAAATATGTGTTATAAGTATTTAATCATCATGATTTTTTATAGATGTTTTGAGACTTTGAGACCACGATAAATAAAACGGATCATCAATTAGGATAGTCTAATTCATGAATCAAAGCACTACTTTAGATTGAATTTAAGGTGTCACCTTAGGAACACTTTTCTTATATATATATATATA